ACGTAGTGTTACATTAAGTAGCTGACTGCTACAGCAAATTACAAGCTTTCCTACTCCTAGTAATAAATTATGATGTTTACCTAGATGTACTTTCACGATGGGAGGATTCTACAACTCCAGAGAACTGAGCAGCCGATTTATAGGCTTTGGCGTAGTGAATTCCTTCTTGGGTGAACTTTATGTGATATCTTCGCTATGCTTTCTCCAGCAGCCACTCCTTACAAGAGCCTTTTTAGCAGGTTACATGAAAAGCATATTTGATTTTTGCAATATGGTTTCCCTTCGTTTAAATTTATTGGCTCTGAAAATAAGGAATACAATGTTTATCATTGAATTTGGGAAAAATTCACTTGATGGAGGTCAACTTGGGTCTTTAAATCGTGTGGCCATCCCTGATAAAGAGAAATTGAGTGAAAGATTGTAATGTGTGCCTTGCTCAAGTAAAATAGCTAATTTGCTTTTCAGCCTCGAAAAGGACCACGCTAGTCATTGGGCAGATTCGAGGTAGCAGAGTAGCCACCTCAACGGCAAAGAAGTAAGTTGTTTAATAAAAACCTATGTTTACTGTCGTAGGGCATAAGTTTTCTGATACAGATTTGTACGGATAAATATCTGGGGAATAAGATCTGTAATCACCACTTCTATGTAGTAAACAAAACAAATTTTGGCAGACAAATTGCATGGATTTGGTACTATTGTTTATCTGTGTATTTTCTCACCAGGACACTTCAAACTCAGCATATTGTGGGTCCATTTTCACTGCATTTTTAGCCCTAGCTGATATAAAATCTTCTCATTTTATTTGATATGATTAAAGTATATGGAATATCGGCTTTATATATAGGCATTGATAAGTGATACTGAAAAGTGATAAGTGATACTGAGTTACTCCATCGAAACGAGTGGCACACATCACTGTTAACAGTAAATCAACTAATTTTCTCATAATTTGCCAATTTCAACCAATCCAATGTAATTACCGACAGATTATGGGGATCTCGATTGTAGGTTAGTGCGATATAAGAGTTGGTAAGGTGCAATCAAGTCTGTGTCACTAAATTGTGTGATCACCATCGGGAGGCATGATAGTTTACTTATCTAAAGAGCGATTTTTTTATCCCTGTCTACGTCTGTGGCATGAATAGACATAGACATCGTAAAACCTTAGTGATATGTATGTATTTGAATTCCGGATGGAGAGAATATTGGGTTTTTTGTGACAAAATCGCATTTCTACACCATTATATCGTTAAAAATGACATGATTTCTTTCAATCAACCCAATATTCTCTATTTTTGAGACCATCTTTTGCATAATTTAGCCTGCCGGTCAAACGTAAACATTGGTAATGCCATTATTAATAATGGGTGGATTGTTAGGAATGTTAGCCACACAAGTGGTTGACCCTGCTATCAACGCAAGGTCATATTAATGTCACTTCCAGTCGTTTGATTGCACCCGATTCTTTCATGATCAATTGGGCATAACACTGCAAGCTTTAATAAGACCAATTCGGGGCTATTAATTTTGCGCCTGTTATTTTTGTGTTCTAGTACTGTATTTTACAGTAACCGTTTTGCGCAGAAAGAAATATGCACAGAATATTTGCTTTGTGGAACTTTTTAAATTTTGTCTTTTATAAATTAACTCTGCTTTTGGATTGATTTTCTTAATCTTAGGGGATAGTCAGCAGGAACAGGTTTCCATTTGCCATACTTTTGACCATCCCTATTGTTGCATGAATTGGAGGCAGTGCCATAGTCAGATACCGAGAAGAAAGGAACTTCTTTAAACATTGACCTCATCGTTCGGCTCCCGATTTTATCAAATGACCACCAGTCATCCAAACCAGACCTTAAGTGGATAGAAATACGGTCACTTGGCCACAGATATGATAGGAGGCCACCATAGCCCCAAAGCCATTGGATTATAGTAAACATTCGCTCATGGAATGCATCTAATTGGACAATCAACAGCTGTGAGATGAAGTCAAACCGTGTTGCCGAAACAGTCAAATGACCAAATTTTTTGCCAATCTTGTATAGTTAACTTGTCTGTGTGCGGTATTTTTGCTCCAAATATTAGCCCTTTTAGGTTGATTTAAGGAAATCCCTCATAATTTCAGCTAAATAGTCCATTTGCAATTTGATTTCTTTCCTGTCGTAATAAAATCTTCAACTCTTCTCTAACGTTACTCACCAACGATGTTGCATTAACTTGCAAATTCAGACATTTATTTCACATTTACTTTAATGAGCTATAGTCTCGAGTCATAGGAAAGGCTTGAAGCAGTCTTTAAGGTCGATTTTATTGTTGGTAATCTTTATTCAGGAAAACGCGGAAGTCAATCTGGAACATTCAACCATTTACCATGAATCAAAGATTATTAACTATTCATCAGTTTTAATGTAGTTTATCCAATTTTAGATAACTAGTCGTGTATAAAACCGTTTTAATTATGACATTGGTTCGACAATTTTTGGTTAGATTTTAGATACAATATGATTGGTACTGACCTGAGGCCTAATAATACTACAAATTTTTTGATTCTCGGGTTACAGTTACTGTCACATTGTTAAAGGGGATCTTCCGGTCCACGTGCATTGTTTTGCAAATGAGTGAAACAGTCCGGATTCTACGCAGATCCGGATGCTGTGGGAATGGGTTATGGCTGAATTAAAGCATTTTGCCAAATAATGTGATTTGATTTGCGGCAGATTGCAGTAGAAAAGGCGTTGATTCAAAAGAAAGATTTGGAAAAATGAGTTTGATCTTCAGTATATCAGCTAAAATTAGGCGTAATCAGACATGATGCATGTACGCCCGAATAGAAAACTGAGATCTCCGATAAAAACAAACATGGATTTTGGTTTGATAGTGCTTTACTTCTCTTTTTTGAGCTGTTCAGGCCCAACGTGATTTATTGTCTACCAAAGCCTGACGTATGCAAAGCAGCCGATATTTAACAACCTGGGATTTGCAAAGATGATATGAAACAGGGATTGAGATGACAGCTGCACAGCGACAGCAGCAAAGACATCTGTAATATTACGCGATATGCAAAACCTGCAAAACTTTGCGCTGAAATAGCGTTACTTTAATTTTATTAATGTGCATGTATTTTAAAGCACATTTTTGCAATCATCGCTAAAAATAGCTTTTACTATGCATAAGTTGATCTCACAAGGTATACTATAGTATCGGAAACAATCATAATTGAAGATCCCAAATTGTTTTAAATTTATGCCACCTTTAAGAATATTTGCACACACGCGCAAACGCTACTGAGGGCTTGCCGTTGAATCACAACTAGCGCTAACAAAATTCCTCAGCCAATTGTATCATTTTAGCACATAAAATTGGGCAAAACCTCCTCTACTGATTAGCTGGTGTCAAAAGGCGCAAAAACCGCAAGTTGTAGCGCCTAGAGCTCCAATAAAAGGACACGGTGTGCTGATTTGTCGTAGTATCCAGTGCCCCATGAAATAGCCAGTCTTTATGATGGCAACCGTGCATTTGAAATACTTTCAAGAAAAGGGAAATTTGAATAATAACGAGAAGGCTGAATGCTACCCAGTCCTCTGCTTTTCCACTGCTAATAGGGAACCATGAGTCATGGCCAGGATGCAAAAAAACCACGTCGAGGTCATTCTTGATGAATTTTGCCCCAAATTTCACCGAAAATTATGAGACCATCACCCGATCAAATGCCCAATGCCAAGTCCAGCATCAGCAACTTTTGCACTTTTCATTTCTACCACTTAGAATGGTTGCCTGCACAACCGCATTGCAAGTCATTGCCTTCTTCAAATTAATGAACTTGTTCCCCTCATAGCCAATGAATAAACCTCACATCCTTTGCACATTCGGAGTGTGCTTCCATCCCCCCACCATCGCTACCCCTCAAACAGCACCTTTGCCCAATCTCATGCCACGCATTGCCTTTTCCACCAGAGCTATTGTCCAAAGGAAGAGATACCAGTTCAGCTTTGTGAAATAGGCCCATGAAATCAAAATGTGGAAGTTGGAACCTTTCAACAGAGCTTCTTTCTCCATTTGTCTGAGCACTCGGACTGATTGGTAGGGGATATCAATTCACCAGCACTAAAACAGTGAAGTAAAGAGGAGAGTTGATTGCAGTTTTTTAGCACAATAACGACAGCCGCAACTTTACCAATTGAATCCAAGTTAAGCAAAACCTGATTACATCACTTTGCACCATCTTCCATAGTTTCTTTAAATAATAAGAAACTGGGTGTCATTAGGGTCCATTATATTGCTAATTTGTTAAGGAACCTTTAATATTACACATAAGGTCTTATGAATCATGGCAGTAACATCCTGCCTGGTTTGAACGCACGATAAAGCCAAAACAATAAAGTAAGCAGTGAAACAATCCTGGTGGATGACTGGCTTTCCTAATATTTACTATGACTTCGGTAATGTAGGAATTATACACAGACAAAAGGATAACTTGCAGTCATATGGTAGAGGAGCTCAAGTTTAATGTCTCTAAATTGTTTGCAAAGTGCACATGCTGGAATCCAGCCAGCAGACTTAAATGACATTTCGTAATAAGAGGCTTCGGATAGGAGGGTAGTAAGTGACGCACATTCAAGTGCACTTAATTCACTCTACACCTTACAACAGGGACGGATTGCCTAATTCAGCTAATAAGTTAGATAAATAAGCTTATTGCTACATTCTTGCAATTGGGAAATACGACAGTTCCTGGCCATGGTAAAGATCCGGAGGAATCATTTGAACTGGAATACTGACACGTGGTAATTCACCTCCCCAACATATTTGAACATGTTAGAATGTGGTGCGACTAATTGTGAAGACAACATTGAGTGAATGTGGGCCTTTTATTATTAATGGCATTTATAATACCAATATGAGGAGATGAAATCTTGTTCATGTTTATCGCGATCTCTGGAAAGTGAAATTAAAGTTGATTTGAGCGGTGTTGTATATTAATCCACTGAGTGCACAGAAGATCACTTGTCATCTCCGCAGGCCACAACACCGGCCTCTGACTCCACGAACCACGTCTCCGCTTTCGGTGTAGTTGAGCTTACACCTCTTAAATTGGTAAAAACGAAGTATTTCGACAAGGTAACCGGCTCAATTTACATACAGGCACGACACAACGGCAATTCTCTAATCTATGCGAGAAATTGTGGGGGTAAAAGTATCTGTCCCTACATAACAATTCCTGATCATGACTCACTTACAAAGGACACTGCCTGACGATGAAGCAGTCCAACAGGAACTTCATGTAAGCAAATCTCTGTTGTCTAATTCAAGCGAAACGGTTTTTGGTAGAATTATAGCAGTAAAGATTATAATTGTAAGGTTTAATTTCACAGTTGTGCATAATTTGACAAACAAAATATAAAACAACTGCAAACTTTAAATCAAAAATGTCGCATATAATATTTGTGTAGGCGCGCTTGAGAAGGTGCAAAACATATAAAAGAAGGTTTGCTCACACTACGAACAAAATAACAGTTTGGAATAGGCACAGATTTACATCTGCTACTGCTATTTTTTCTAAAGGGTTGAGAGGTAGTGAGTTTTACAGGAGGCTACTTTACTGAGGAAGAAACAACCCTGGAAGGAGCAATTAGTGAATTTGCTCTCCATTTCCAAAAAATATTCGCCTTTGCCGAACGTATATTCTATTCAAGGCGCCTCGGGAGGTACTACTCGTAAACCCTGTGCTCTGCCAAGCAAGAAGTATGAGGAGCCCACAAATAAGCAACTGTAGCTACTTAAATAGATCTAAGTGGAAGAATAGTCCCACAGAATGCCTGCCTAGTTTGTCCCTCGAGAACCTCGCCAGAGCATTATGCGACTGTCCAGCGCCTTTAAACACTCTGCCTTTCCCCCCTCAAAAAAGATGCCTATCACCTCCAGAGTATAAATAAAATGCGTTGGAGAGTAAGTGATTTATAGGTAGTTTGTAATCCGTTCAAACTTCTCCAAATCTCGATCAAGGGCTGGCGGTATGTTCAGAAAAGAGTCGCTGTTTAGGTATTGACGACTAAAGTGATTGAAATAGCTCAATATAAGGACCTCAATCTGATTCTTGAGTTTCGCATAGTGCTCACCGAGGGATTTGACGTCTGAGTTGTCAGTCTTCATAAGGAAATAGGTTAAATCCAGCTTTAGTAATTAATCTAACATTCGCGACTCAGTTTTGATCGCCTTCAAGCTGTCCAACAAGGGTAGCACCTTTAGACCAAAGTCGTGTAAAATACGCGCATCCAAGCGCATTTCGTTACCGACCAAGCAACCCTTGTTTAGTCCTTCAATCAACATTTTCGAAGCTAGTAAGTTAGGAATCGCTTAAAACACCATAGGCTTCTTGATGCTACACTCGTGACATCTTCTACAATGACATTCTTTCAACGTCAAACTAAAAAAGGCTACTACCTGGGATGCTTGATCGCCTTTGTGAGAGTTCGGCATTGAGTCAAGACCAACCTCAAACTTCCTCACGGCGTTAGCCATTAGGCTATGTAGTAAAGGAAATGAGTGAGTTACTAACGTCGATTTCCCAGACCAAATGATACTTGATGCATGAGTTTTGTCTTTCCACCGGTCCCATCGTTCTGTGCAACGAGATTGGATGGTCGTAGAAATCCTTACAAATATCCCTAAAAACTAACAGGGATTCTGAATAACTCAGATGGATGCAGAAAAGCGCTAACAGAAGTACAAATACAAGGAGGAGCTTAGAAACCACCCGTGCTGCAAGCTACTATGAAACGAAGCGCTCTTGAAACAACAAATTGAAAGTGCAGTGTTTCTGTGGAAACTAATGGGTGCCTATGGAAAAGGAGGCTTATGACCTTGATCGTGAAGTGGAATAATGGGGACAGTATGCTAGAGAATTGGAGAGGAATTGAGTCAGGTAGACAGGGAACGGGACTCACAGTCAGGCGAGTGCTAGTGGGCTGGAGAATTGGAGGTGGTTGGTTTGGGGGATTGGTAGGGATTTTGAGAACTAGGGAGTTGGGGTGTGAGGTGGAGAGGTATAGAAATTGAGTTGTAGGGGGGGGGGGGGCAAAAAATAGTGGAGTGGAAGGGAAGCAAGGGAGAGAGGTGGGTTAATGGCTGGTCGAGAGCCGAGGGCTGGAAGTGTAGATGGGTGCCCCGGTGTAGTTTGTAGTCTTCCACTCGCGGTTATGCCCTAATTTTTAAAGCTATTTCTCTTGCCTGCAATCTAGGAAAGTACTCCAGCTTGGTTCATGTGCTAGACGTAAGCATTTTCGCTGTTTTGCAATAATCCTAAAAATCGTGACACGCTTGTTGTATTTTCCTTCCGTCCCTTCTGATTGACTGGGATCGCACTTGCTGAGCAGCAAATGCAACCTCTCCTTGACAGTAAGACCACTTCAAGCGTACGATGCAGGCAAATGGATAAGTGGGTGGCTTGGTTGCAGTCTGCACGTACTCTCAACTTTAACTTCGTTACTTGCTCATTTGCATCTGTTGAGCAATCGGCCGATGGATCAATCAATGGAAAAGTCACTTCTCCACCTCGTAGGCGCACCTATGTCATTTTGCAGCATTCAGTTGACGTTATGCAGTCACTTATTAGATGGATTTATAGGATGG